TAATATCATTGAGTAAAATATCTAGTAAAAGAGAAAGGTTCTCATAATGTCATAAATATATACTATACGGATTGAGTGATTGATACACCTTTACGTATATATATGAAAAACAATTATCTTTTTCCGAATTTTTTTTTTTTTTTTTTTTTTAATGAGATTGATGCCTACTATCTTATCAGTATAAGTAATTCAACTGTTTAAATGTTGATATAGCATTTCTGATTCTAAATTCTTGAAAGTCGATTGAGAAAATACACTTCAGCATTCCTATGGAATTCGTTCACCTTTCGGATACCAAATTTCAAAGACAACTATATATGTCACATTCTTTTATAGGCATATATTATACTCATAAACAAAATATTTGATATTTTTATTATCCTGTTTTCACGTAACGCTCATTTTGTAATTGAACAAATAATAAAAAAAAATTTTTTAAAGTTTTATTAGAAAAATATTAACGGTGCTATTTTAATTCAAATTTTTTGTACCACTTAAATGTTCATTTAACAATATAGTCAAGTAATAAATTACGAATATTATAAATAACGCAAATAGTAAATATAAAAAAAAAACCAAATGTGTAGAAAAAAATATTTTTTATAGAATATACTAATTGTGGGATTGGACATCTACGTTATAATTTTACATTAAAGTACTGATTCGCGTGTTCTTCCTACAACCTGTACTTTCATAGATTCTGATTTCTTAGATTTGCAATTAATCACAGTTTTCAAGATTTAAAGGATCATTGATTAGTTTCTTAAGAAAGAAATATAAAATCAGAAGGAAAATAAAAGATAGATCCAACTTCAGTATTTACACGTTTTTAATTAAAAAAAATCACACATTTTTTGTCAGTAAAAGTGTGGGTAATTATATTTAAAAAAAAAGATAAAAAATTTTCCAACAGTAAAAAACTATTTTAGAATTAAGTGTATGTAAATTTAAATTTGTTTCAGACTTATATTTTATAGATAAAAATTTATAAAGCAATAATATAACAGAAATGTAATAAAAATTTATTTTATGAATGAAATTCAATTGCATAATAATATAAAAGTGTTTTCAATTACTTTTTTTTTTTTTTTTTTTTTAATGAAAACCGGTCTTGTTCCTGCGTATATATAAATTTTAACCACGGGGTATTTTTTTTATATAATATTGAAAAAAAATTATCAGAATCACGTGTTATTATTATATTTTCTTGTCACGTTATTAGATATTGTTTGATTTTATATTTCAATCTTTACAGTTCCTGTTTATATTTATTTATTTTTTTTTTTTTGAAAAAACTGTTTTCTTAAATCCGGTTTTGAATCCCGTTTTTATACGATATGGTGTGGAAAATTTCAAGTTATTTTAATATATATGAAACAGGATTTTGGTAAATCTAGACAAATATTTTAAAATATCAAGTGGACATTATAAGGTGAATTAATTAAGATTCTAAAAATTGCTGTGAAATTTTTAAATCTCACGTACCACTTTAAATCTCCTATACTCTTCTGATCAGCATTTTTTTTTTTTAATTAATTATTAGTAAAATATAGTTATTCGAAATTAATTATTTCATTAAATATATTTATAATCGTAAGACTTTTTATTTATGTGTTAAAACGTTTTTACTTAAAAGTCGAGTCATATTACTTCAAGTTGATTCAACGACGAGTCGACGATGTCAATGTGTGAATTGTGGAAGATAACGCAAGTAGCTAAGTTGTTAACGAACACAATAACGTCACCTGACTCCCTTTATTCAAATGCGCACAATTGCTTTTGATATAAAAACATTATAAAGTTTTAACTTAATTGGTACTCACTGTGTTTAATTCCATCTTTTATTTTTTTCTTTAGTCCATATTGAATTTCCAATGCTTCATACGAAGATTTCCTCATTTTTTGTAATATTTTATTTGTACCTAAAAAGGAGAAAAATTAAAAAATTATTTAATCAAATTTTAAAATGATAATAATTTCAATTGTCTTAAAAATAATAAATCAATTGTTACATTTGTAATAAAAGATAATATTTTGATTGATATTTGGAGAAATTCTCCTTTGATTTGGAAAAAAAAGAAACCTGTTTCTTGTATACGACATACTCTGTTAATTTGAATAAGTGAACTTTCACTAGATATTAGCGACGTTCTTTTTGAATACCTCATGCCGTAAACATTCATTGAGAAATCGGTAATCATTCTCGGAAAAATAACTTGTTACATCCTAAACAATTTGCAAAGAAGATGTAACTAAGATGTTAAATAAACTAATTTGAACAAATAAATAAATAATAATATGCTATCAACAATGGTTATTTGTATTATAAATATATTATTAAATAACGTTTTCGTTAATGAAAATATCGAAAATTTCATTAAAAATAAAAAAACGTAATACTTTTACATGTTTTACGAAAATGATGTGTTTTTAACAAAAAAATATGTTTTGTAAACTTTTATCTTGCAATAAAATCGCACACACGCAATTATGATGCTTTCCGGTTTCCGGGTTTATATTTCGATTTTACATAATAATGCTTGATAAATATCAGTAAACTGCAGAATTTATAATTCTTCTTTATAAGCCTCGTCTTTGAATTGCATCATAAGAAACATTGACCATGACATAAAGGAAAAAACATATCGAATAAAAATGTCTACTGAAAATTTTATAGGAAAATAATTTATTGCAGTTAATTTTGCATAGAGAAAAAATTAATAATATAAACAAAATTTCCAGTCTTAAAAAATATGATTTTTTGTAATCTTTAGAAAAAAAAAAACTATTATTCATATTTATTTATAGTTTTTAATGAACAATGCAGAATTTCTTACACAAATAAGTAGATGTCACCACTTGTACTTTATTTATAAAAAAAAAATCAAATAAATTTTCTGAAATTTTTTAATATTTTCTGCGTGATATACTATACAAAAATTTATTTTAATTCAAATATTTGGTTTAATTCAATTTGCTATTGAAATAAAAGCTTTATTTTAATCCACATCAACTTTTAAAGTGATTATATAAAACTATTAAAATTTACTATGTTCCTTAAAAATTTTTTTAATGTTATTTTTATGTAAATTTTGTTCCTCAGATAGGTTCTAAAAATTAATGATTCGAATCAATATTAAAATTCTTAAGTCATAATTTATTAATACTAATAAATGGTATATTATTTCTGCGCATAATCTAAACATTAAACCATGTTGATTTCTACAATGTAATGTTTTAAATTTGAAAAAAAAAATATTACAACATTATCTTTAATATGAAAAGATAACAAATTTGAATTCAAAAAGAATAAAATTTAACACATTTTGTAAAATTGAAAAAACTATCATATAAAAATTGAATGGATGTTTTTTTGAAAAATATAATTCCCGCAATTTAACACAATTTAAAATTGAAAAGACGTGAATTTAACACCTCTTTTGATTGAAAAGAATATTATATTGACGGAATCTTTCCCATGGCATAATAATGTTATATTACGAAATTAAAAATTCATCGACAAGTATCGTTAATATTCTTTCCGTTGGTATAGAGTATGGCTGTCGTTAATTTAATTATACCTAGACACGAATATAATATGTGGAGGGTAAGATTTGTTTATGTATTGGAATGTGAGGGACATTCTTATCGCAAACTGATCGGAATGGTGCATCCCACGCTTTGCTTGTGCGCGGCTGCATTCGCAACTATATACGCTGAGATTGAATAATAAGGCTGAACCCACGATGCAACTCAGGTTCCCTTCTTGATAAACGACTAAAGATACGGGGTGGTCCGTTGACCTTATTTCCGACTCTTCTTACTCTTTTAATGAATGATATCTGATTTCTTTTAAAAAGAAAACTATTATTGCCCTAATACAAATTTAATGGATATGATAGTTTGCTTCAAAATCTTTGCAAAAAAAAAATTTGATTTCTTATTAATAGAAGAAAAAAATATTGGAGCATAAAGTGTATTAGATGAATTTGAAGCATTTTAAAATTGTACATATTATTATAAACGACACGTGAAAGAAGTTTTATAATATGAATCTGATAAAAGAAAACACATTTCTTGTAGATAATGTGAAAATTCTTTCGACAAATTACTTATCAGTTTGATCATGGTGGATATAATTAAGAGCAGAGAGTGAAACCAACATTGGTGCGCGATAAAGAGTTAATTACATTAGACTGTGTCTTATCGGATATTTACGCATTTTTGACCTGATTTATATATTATTGTATAAAGGTACAATAATACATAGAATTCTTTTTTTATAATTAATCCAAAATTACTTCCTTTTTTTCTCAATTTTCCGTATAAAATCAAAATTCGGTATAATCCAGAAAGAATTTTTTTGATAAAAATGTACCACGGTAAGCAAATTTCGAAATAATACTTAAACTGTGATTAAACATCAATTGGAAACTTATTGAAAATATAATTTATTTTTAATTCATTGTAATTAAATTTTAAATGTATATTCTATAATAAAAATACTTCCCATTAACTAAAATAAATGTTGACAAATTTTATCTGATTTTCCTAATGGGAATATAATAAAAAAAAAGAAACTCATCTATTTTATGTCAATTGTCACGTAATCTGACTAAACAAGGTTAAAATGAAAAATTGACTTACTTAGTCAGAATCTCAATGTTAAATGGCACGATCCACATTTTATGGTGCGAATTTTTCAAGGATGTGTGTACTTTTAAGTTTATATATCGTTTGTCAGAGTGTTTCGTAAGACTTCGCGTGTGTGAACATTAACCCCATTTATTGTGCCAATGGGGCCGAATAATAAGGCATATATAATATAACAAATTCGATATGATGATAATGAATCTGATTATTCCGCTCGTGTATAAAATCCATGCAGAACAAATTTAATGCATATTATATTATATAGACAAATTTTACTGCCACATTACATACTTTTACTACTATTTTATATTATAACGATAATATACTCATATTAATAAAGTAATATAAACTTTTTATCGTTTATTTATCAAATTTATATTAATTATAATTCTTTTTTTTCATTTTTAATTAATAAAAAGTAAGAATTTACCTCAAATTCTAAAATTTCAACTAATTCAAATTTAGAAGGATTAAAAAATTAAAATAGAGAACCAGCCACCTAATACATTATAGTATACCATATATTTAACTAACAAGATAATTGCTTGAACCAATTACTTTTCATTGATCTACAACCTTGAAAGCATAAGTTGTTTGGAAATCTTTGACTACGCCTTTGGCTAATTAACTGCAAGATGATTCGTTAGGAAAAAAAAAAAGAAGGATCGTTATTATAAGGAAGGAAAAGTATCGTCGTCTTAGTTTGCAAGTAACCTCATATGCACAACCTCCGCATGAATAGACTTCACTTAAGGTTCATTTTTACAGATGCCACACCTCACATTTTTGCATAATCACCGCTGTTGTCATTCTCCCTCTTAATCCCACTATCTTAATTTCAACACCCCACCACATTATTAATCTTTAATGGCATTTTTCTATCTCCCAATAAACTTTAAATTTTCCACACATGTCTGATTTCAAAATACCTTTCAAATTTATCATTGAAATTTCTATCTAATAAAAAGAAGAAAAAAAATTATTCTCGATGGATATGAATAGTTTGAGGAAATTAATTTTAAAGCTTATTCCTGCGTCTCGTTTGATTAATTTTTTTCAAAAGATATTTGAAATAATTAATATCCTTTTTTGGAGTAAACATATCATAAAGTGTTGATGTTATTATAAAATGAACCTACATGAGAATCACTTCCTCTGTAAATGTATATATACATATGTAGTCGACCTTGATGCACCGCACCGGTTGCGTTTAAAACAGCGCACGAGTTTCTTATCCGCACTACTGATCGGTGAGACGCTATTTCGAGTATTCAACATTTTTTTTTCTTTTTTTTTTTCCTTATTAATGAACATTATTTCTCATCCACTAACATCCTTTTCTTGTTTGCCACTGTTAATAATGCTCTTGATGTTTTTATTTGTATTATAGCTCATCCAACAATATCTTTTTTGCCCAGGAGTTTCTTTATATAGTTACACAATAATTGCTAATAGACTTTCATGAAATTATGCATGTTTTAGTTCACATTTGATGATAAATAATGGAAATTTTTTATAGAATACATCTCATGTTTCTCTTGACAAAAATTTTCAGTGTGATGAAAAGACAATTCAAGAATTGATTGGTTTATTCTTCGTGCATTGTTTTTTTTTATGTCCTCACCTGAAATTTGTAATTGTTCGTTAGAATAATATGTATTGTGTAGAAGAAAAAAAAGAGAGAGAGAGACTTTCTTTGTCGGTCAATATATTGCGTGGAAAATAATAAGGTGTGAGCGCACCTTCTCGAGGACAAGATTGCAACACATGGCATTAAAAGAAAAAAAAAGCCATAGTTGTAAAGTGCCAAATTCATTTTCTTTGTATACTGTAATTACAGTCATAACAAAACGAGTCAAACTTGACCTACTTTCCATAAAATATATTATTTAAAATTCAAAATAATTCCAAAATCACCATTTTTACTATCCTAATTATCATTTTTTTTCAAAAATGTTTCTTTATCAATTCTTCAAGACAACCGCTGACTTTTTTTTATCATCCAGAGATTCTCAGATTTCTTCACAATAGATAAATTTCTCAAATGTCTTTATCAAAAGACTCTCTTCTTTTCTTAAACTTATAATAATTAAAAAAAATTTTTTTGTCCAATTGTTTTTTCATTAATATTATTTCAATTGTATGAAAAATTCGTAAGTATTCGCTGCATACATTAAAAGGTGAATGACATTCTTATGGACAATTGCCAACAAAGTATAAAGCCACTTGACAAATAATTTAGAATAATGATATTGCCGTCAAGTAAATGAAATATATTGCAAACATTAAAGTATAGTGAAATGCAAAAAAGTATATAGGTATGATTAGTCATTGTATATAGGTGGAAAACCTGTTATTTCTAGTTTTGAGCCTCCCTGGGAAATCGACAAGAATTCGTAGAAGTATACGAGAAATCTAAAAGGAAATTACAACTCGCTAATCTTCATATAGACAATAATTTTCATATTTATTGTCTTTTTTAAAAAAAAATTTCAAATTCTTCTAACTTTGCTTCATTTAATATAATATATATTTTCATTTAAAATATTCTGATGAAAATGATGAAAAAATTTCCTGATGAAAATTTGGAAAAAATTGTAAAATAATTAATGGCGTAGTAAATTCTTGGAAATCGTATATAAATCGCCGTTAATTCGAATGATTGAAACAAAATACTAGAGAATGACGCCAGGGATTCCTCGACTCAGTCCACCTGCATTCGGACTCTACCTTTCGCAAAAGGCAATTATAAGACCTCGTCGCATTAACTTGCACAGCCATAAACAGTTGTCGCACCGCTAAACTTATTGCGTTTTATGTAACTAAAAAGAACTCAACAAAAATACGTTGTGTATTTTATTTGAAAATTCTTTTTTCACAATTTTAATGAAGAATTTTTAAAAAATAGTAATTTTTTAAAAATACAAATTCACCTGCAATATTATGTTTCACCTTGAGGTGAAACCATTTCCGTACCTGTTGTGTCCTCCCACTGATTTTACCAAGGCGTTAAAATAACAGGTGATTCAGCGTATTCTATATGGCCTTTCCGCTTCGTTGATCGTAATTTTCTTTTTTCTTCATAAAAGAATTCAATACATATTTTTATAGCTTTAATATTTATATTCAATTTCTAAATTAAATCGTTTATTCATTATCTATTTATCATGTTTCTTTTTTTTTGGGGGGGAAAAAAAAATTAAACACTTTACATGTAGATAATAATAGTTGAGTTATTTTAGAAAATTATCTAACAGCAGTAATAAAAGTGTAATGAAATACAAAATAAATTTGTATTCGTAAATGCTCGTCTTTTTTGCATCCTTACATGTATCGAATAACAAACCGTATTGTTGTGACTATTTTTTTTCTTTTTTTTTTTTTATTATTCCTATTGTGATGATTGCCAAGTATTGATTCCACTACTGTATTTATCAAACATTAAATTCATTAAATATCAAATTCCTTTTGCAATTAACTTTAATATATTTTAGTTATTAAAACATATTCAGCATTTTTTAATTAAAATTCATTAATTATTAATAATCGTCGCACTCAAGCGGTATTTCTATTTAGAAAAATATTTGAAATATGTAACTAATAAAAAAAGTTTATAAAATCCAAATAATTATAATCTATATAAAAAAATGTGTAAATTAAAAAAAAAACGTAAGGCATAAAAATAGTCACAATAGGAACTTTCCACTACCTGACACTTATGATTTTTAGCAACTAATTAGTGTCTTTTTCTTCTTCATCAATTATTCAATATTATCTACAATATAAACGTCAACTGTGTAATATTTTCTCTAATTTATTACCTAATATTCTATTCATATTCACAAAAACAAACCGCGACAATTACTAAATATTCGATGATGAGAAATTCTAATCTTAGAAATAGAGATTAACATTTTTTTGAATGAATGAGAATTTGTCATGGTTTTTCGAATTTGAGTGACCAGATCAAGGAGATTTGGGAATGAGAAAGAGGTGGCTCTATAAGGTTCCAAGGTAGAGAGGAATCACGACTTGAAGCTTATGGTGAAGAAGGTGCAGTGAAGGGGGGCAGAAAAGTGAGCCAGCTCACCTTGGCGTCCATGGTATGCGCCCATTGGCGTCTTCTTCAAAGGCGTAGGATATATATCCTTATGCTATTCATCCAGCATCTTGTTTTGATTACAACATTAAAAAGAAAAAGAAATGAAACAAAAAAAAAAAAAAAAAACCGTCTTGCCTCAACTCTTCTCCTCGCGTCTATTCATATCATTCTCATCATTAATAAAAAACGATATATGTATACGAAAAGTCAAAATGTTAACCAAGGTCAGACACTATTTGTCTTGCACTTGTAGCTTTTGAATACCTCATATATCTTTGGTCTCACGATTTTCATGTGCTTGGAATATTCGAGTGAAGCTCGTCTACCTTCCGCCAACAACGCAACCTTGACTCGAAACTCACCAAGGTGAAATGGAGGCAACAAACTTGTGCATGAATTATATCTCGCGTAAGAGAGGCGTTCATCTACGTTGAAGAATTCTTTATAATCTTTATAGGAAAATTACTGAAAAATATGTAATTTTTTTTTCTCCTCTCTTTTTGAAGTTTGATACTATATAGTCGTTATATGGGTTTATTGCTTGTTTTTTTTTTTATAACGGTGAGCATCCGTTACCTGAGGGCAGAAATGTGAATGTGAGAGCAATTTATCGCGTAAAATTGAAATTTACTGAAACACGTTATACGTAATGTTGTGATAATTGCTATCAAAATATAGATATTACGGCTTAATCCATTTTAAACTCTTTCCCAGGGCTTAAATATATGCATATGAACCAGTCATTGCGGCTCTAGAAAGTGTATATTTTTGTTGATTGGGGGAGGTGGGAACGGATTAATATGCATTATATTTGATAAAGGTATTCGTAAATTATTGTTTACGCTTGATTTTGAAATGGTCCCACCGATTTTTTTACGTAGCTAATCATTTTTAAATGTTGCGGAATCACTGCTCCTTAATGTGTTTTCAGAAACACTGCTGTAATATTATTGAAATGTTTTTTTAATTTTAAATAATTTAATAATACTTTCTAAATCTGAATTAGTTGTAAAATAAAATTTGAAGTGACAAATTTCATGGAGAAAACTGGATATTAATATCTAGATATTTATTTTTTAACATAATCTAGATATTAAAAATTAATATCAATAAATACTAAAATTAGATATATAATATTCAAGATGTAAAATTTGTATGTCTGAAATATTTATCAGTTTTTATTTTGCTAACAAATTAAAGAATTGAAAATATAGAGAAATAAGATAAAAATATTTGTAACCTGTAAAACATACCTTCAAATTTTTTTCGAATCAAATCAATACAATATTCCACATTATTAATTCTTTCCATCAAAAAACCATTAATTATGCTCTTGAAAATGCATAAAGTAAATTTTATTAATGTAAAAGTTGGTCAAAACTGCTATTTAAATCATAAAATAGTATAACAAATTTTAAATGACCAGTAGAATTGAAACATAACCTCCAATTTTGATAGTTTAATGTTTTCTACGACATATAGTTTATCGTATTATAACTTTTTATACTAGAAATTACTTTTAATCAATATAACTTTAATAAACAGACAAAATAAACTTTTTTCCTCATAATATTCTAGTATGTTTGAGAAAAAATTGAGACAAGCGTACAAAACTTCGCACGCTCAAACAACAGAAACCATTTAAAAATGCTACGCGCATGCGTTAGCACATTTAAACTATCGTATCGTATCGTATCGAATCGTATTTAAATATTTGAAACAAATAACGTTTAATTGACTCAAATAATAATTATTTAGTAAAAATAAACATTTATTTGATAATAGTCAAAGAACTAATTATTTGAATCAAATAATTTTTTTCTATTTATATTAAAAGTTAATATTTTTTCTTTTAAATATCCAGTTTTCCCCGTAATTCTCACGATTTTCGCAGTAAATGCTTAATTAAAAAATAAAAATTGATTCAATAAATTTTATTCCGTAAAATTTTTATACTTTTAGCGCACTTTACAAGTGAAAAGGTATAAATGATAATTGAATTTTCCGCCAATTACACCTCGGAAGTGTTTGATCATTATAAAGGAAAAATTCTTGGAATAGCAATGGGATGGCAAAAAAAAAGTTATGTGAATTGGAACGTTTAGATACATAACATCTACATGGCAGCTTTCTTCATTCTTGATGATTATATACCGGTACTAGAAAATTAGCAGAGCATCGCGAGATCTTGTCCCCCTCAAGGCAATTTTGCAGTTTTTCCAACTAATAGTTTTTCTGCTTCTTTATATCTTTTTCCCCCATTTTTTTTTATTTATACGCAGCGACTTTATATATACTTCGTGTATCGTCATCGATTGTGCATATCTAATGCGATTAGCAGCGATTAGTTGCAATACGGCATTTATGATTGCGTAATTGCATAACATAAACTATTAGATGTCCATATGAATAAAGGTGTATGTCTATGGATAATATTAAATTATATTATAATATTTAATTTGTACTAAAAAAAAAATATAGGCACGCGTCATTTTTTTGGAGTATATCCAATTTTCCACTTAGCTCATTTCCATATAGATTAAAAATTATGGATCATTAAAATAATGTCTTTTCATGTTAAATGCAATTATGAAAATGTAAATAATATTTCACATTTTCCAAAAAAAAAAAAAAAATTACAAAATAATTTTGTTTAAATAATTCCTTTTGGTTTTTAGTCAAAATAATTTTTTCTGATAAAAAATATAAAAATACATATTTATTTTTAACGAAATAAAAAAATGAAAATATTTTCTTATTTTTTTTACACAAATTCAGAAAAAAAATAAAAATAAATAAGAATAAAATAACCGAAAATTGATTTACACTTTGATTGCATAGATATAAATCAAAATGTATATGCGTGCATGCAAATGTAATAAAAAAATTATTTGCATGATAATAAATAATAGTGGAATTATATACGTGTGATCGTACATGATAGGCATGGTCAAACACATTGGATATAGATACAGATATATAGCGGAACATGCCTTTCGAAGAATGCGTTTCCTTCCTGTCGGTATCACGAAGGCCAAACATGGCCTTGCAACCAACAGGTACTTCGACGTTGGTAATAAATATCTATACACTATAACCAATTCGTATGGCTACTTCCGCTGAGTAACCCAGCATTCGTTTCTATAGTTTCATTTTAAACTTTCAAATAATCATTTTTAAAATTAGAATTAAAAAAAATAATTTCTCAAATAATCTTAATGTAATTAACAATTGCTGTAGAAAATCCAATAATAATGTGTTTCCAATTCTGCCAATAATAATTGAGTTTTTCCCTATTGATATAATAATATAAGACTATATTTATGAGAAAAATTCATTTGCAATTGCAATATATAACTCAGTGAAATTTACTGGTTTATATGAAACTTTTTGATCTCTCGTCACAGAAGGTTAAGCTCAGCCTGAATTCCTTCTGAGCAGCGGAACGTTTTCTCTTTTTAGCGATATAGCATTGTGCATTTCATTTCCAGCATTCCAACTGACATTTTTCCTCCAATTTAGGATAGAAAATTAATGTTCTATTCCATTCTCTGATATTTCCTTTTCCTGTGTCCAGATTAATTTATTATTTTCAGATTAAATTCTTTAAATTTTATTTTCATTTTTTTTTAAGTGTTATAATAATTAAATTAAGAAATGATTTTTTTCTTGTTTCAGGAAAACACTTGGTTTTAGTGACAGATCCTGAAATAGTTGACGATGCCTATGCATTCGATAATCCATGTTTCAAAGATGCAACACCTGCAGTTGGTCGAAGTCTCGAGAGACCAATTTCTGCCACTCCTATGGAAATGCCAGTAAAAGATTCAACTCGTTGGTCAACACCTTGGTCATCATTGGGCCTTGGAAATGGAAATCGGAATGATAAAAGGCGCACCTTGGATGACTCTTGCCTTGGAGTAGGTTTCCACTTTTTCTCTCACCTGCAAATATCTATTTTCCGGTTTAATTACATTCTCATTTTTTTATTTCACTTGGGTGTAATAAAAAAATTATTCTTTTATCAAATTTATGCTTACAATATTTATTATTCAAAGTAATTTTTAAAAATGCCAAGATATGTGGTATAATAATACAAAAAAAAGTGAATTAAAATAATATATACTACAGAATTATTCGTAATTTATGTGGCATGTTTTTTATAATTATGGTGAAAGTTTTGTCTGGAATGTCCAGGGAATCTTTATTTTATTTTCATTATAAATGTGATAATTCTACTTCTTTTTTCATTTTTAAAAGTACAATTACAATAAAAAAAAATGATATTAATAAAATTAAATGAAGGTTAAATTATTCTAATCTTGAAGAAAAGAATGTTATATAAAAGATATATTGTACCTTTTCAAGCAATGAGAATATATATATATATATATATATATATATATAAGAATTCGAGATATATTTTTGTTCATTACGAAATCATGTAAGATAATTTAAAATTAATTATACAAACTTTCACAAAAAACGAAATTTTCAATTGGAAAATTACTATATAAATGAAATATGTATAAAATTCAGAAAATCTTGATAATTTTTTTTTTCATCACAAATAACATATTTTTTTTTTATTAAATACTAAATTAATTCTCAATATTTGGTAAGGAAATAATATTGGCATTTATAAAATATACCTTGAATAAAAATCATGAATTTCTATTGTTAAAGAATCGATGATTCAGAGATGCTATTTGGTACAATTTTATGCGAATTAGACATTTCGCAATACAACCTCTAAAGTTGATAAAAGAATAAGCCCACGCGTTATTTGCTATTTATGTCTGCGACATAGAGGAAAATATAAGTATTACTTTTTGACGTCCAACTAATAAATAACATTTTGTTCCATTAGCCAAAGGCCACCAAGGTCAGTTGCGTGAGTCTCAGGAGTCGCGACTTTACTGGACTTGGATTTAATGTCTGTGGAAATATGAGAGAAGGAATTTTTGTCAAAGATCTTCTTCATCGTGGTCCTGCCTCAGAATCTGGTCGCATTCATCCTGGTACGATTTTTCTCTATTTTTAATGTCCTTTAATAAAATAATAATTTTTTTCCTTTAATTAATTGAAAGTTTTTTTTTCACATTTAGTATTTTTTACTTTGTTGCTCTTCTTATTTTTTCCGGTTTGAATCTTATATTTTTGAGATATTAAATTGTTTTTCCTATGGCAGAGATTGGCATGTGAAGAATGCTTTAATTCAACATATGATAAAGTCTATAAAAGATTAGAAATGGTTTTAATTGAGGCATTCAATCATAATTGAATGTTCCTTATTTCGTGAATCACTCGAGCGTGATTAGATGTGAGAATCACCTATATATTTAACTTTCCAAAACGAATAAGGATTTCTATATACAGAGAAATTTATATGCTCATTGATCTGCTTTATTTTATAACAAAATTATTATTCCAAATGAGTAATTTAATTTCAATTTTAAATTTGAAAAAAATTTTTTTTTAATTAATTATTTTTTCATTACAGGTGACAGAATAACAAGCGTGAAAATCAGCTTCAGAAGTATGGTTTACGAAGACGCGTTGACAATTTTAAGTTATGCCTCGCCTTACGACGTAGAATTAGAAGTGGAAAGTGGGGGATCTGGTTCAAAACCAACAACGTTATTAAAAAAGAGCGTGGGCCCAAGTCCAACAAGAATTTGTCATCCACTCTATAGAAGTCAATCAATTCCTGAACTCTCACGAGCTCATATTTCAGTAGCAAAAAGACTCTTTATCGCCGATCCAAACGAGTCATTAGGCTCAAATTATTCAACAATGAATTCAACATTAAAATCATCAAAGTCGACCCCAGGTAGTCAAACCCTCGAGCGTCGTCATGAAGAAACAAAACAAAATCATCATAAATTTGGCATTAAAGTGCTACCCGCTCTCGATGGCACAGTACACAGAATCGAGAATCAAAATGAGCACAATACAAATCTCGAAAGGAGACATTCACGTAAAATGGATGCTGAAAAAATTCTTGGCAAAACAACGTCTCTCGTTAAAGAATCTTCATCATCTCCCGTCGATGAAATTAAAATTGTCTCTGAAACACTTCAAAAAAAAGAAAATTCAATACAAAAAGAAAATGTAATTACAAATGATAATTTACAAAAACAAAAGGAAAATTCTCGTCAAATTGATGTGATAAATCATAAAGAAAATTCAGAAATTACCAAAAGAATTTTACGAGTCGATGGAACAGAATTAAATGGAATTGATGTTCCCGATCAGGGTATGGAAATGCAAATTTCATCAGAAGTACCAGCTGAAGTTCACAATGCTGCAATGGCTGCACGACGAAATCGAAAAAATAGTTCAGAACTTTTAAAAATTCCCAAATCACCAACAATTTCCATTGAAATAGAATCAGATCCAAAAAGTCCTCAAAAAAATAAACGAAAAGCACCAGCGCCACCGAAAATCAATCTCGAAGATGTTGAGGCTACATCCATTAAAAAAGAACGCGAGTCAGAAGATAAAATCGACTCGATTGCTGATTACTCTGAATCATTGAATGATTACGTCAGCAAAGTGCGCGAGAATAAAGATGACGAGGCTCGTAGACAGAGGCTTGAAGCGCGAGCTAACAGAAGGAATTCAGAGTCCGATACGGACAGTGAGGTTCAAAATAGTTTCACGACAATTGAATTAAATCCAGCTGACATTACAATTCATCATACACCAGTGCCTGGTGTTGACGATCACGACGAAGACGATATTTATAGAAAAGCAGCAAGTTTAGGTGATCTTTCAAAATATGAAAATAAAGCCTCAACAACTTTAGAAAGAGCTCAGAGTCTTGATATGACAGATACTGGTTCAAAAAAAAGAAAAGCACCACTACCACCACCTGAAGATATCAACGAATCAACCGAGGATCTTACGAAATTAGATCAAATCGACACGTTCGATAAGCGAAAATTAAAAAAATCCAGTGAGTGGGGAACATTAGAGGACGCTATTTGGTCAAAGGGCGAAGTTGAGGATAAATCAAAGAAAACTCGAGTGCGAAAGAAAAGTAACGGCACACTGGAGCGTTCAAAGTCAGCTGTCGAGATGAAAATCAAAGACGAAATCCAGGACAGTGATGATCCTGTGAATGTTTCCGATGGTGCAATTGCAACTACAATTGATTTATATAATTTACCTCTCAGCAAACGTATGAGTCAGGATTTCATTCATTCCGAGAGAATGTTTAATCCCGATGCTGATAATTCGCTGGCAAGAATTATCAACAATGGACGTGTCGTCAAGAGTCCAACTCCCGAGGAAGTTGAATTAGATTTCAGACAAGCGAAACCTGTACCTGATGAAGTTGATGACGCAAAAAATCCTTTCAAGGATCTCGAGGACAAAGACATTGATAAGGGAGTAAATGAAGGATTCGAAAGGGCTTTGCAATATTTTGATCTTCACACGAGTAAAAATGCAAATACATCAAAAGTGGATTTTGTCAATTTTGAAGACTCAAAAGAAAAGGATTTATTCAATAGTGATCCTAAATTGTTGTACAAAAATGTGGAACCTGTTGAAGAGATATTTACCAAGGTTAAAATTGACTACGTGTGTCCTGGTTGTGAGCAAAAATATGGACATCATACAGATAATTGTAAGAGAAGCACGACAAATGGCAAAAGAATAGACGATCATTTGGAGCTTCAAAAAGCCGAAATAGAAGCTGACAAAATAGTGAATCATGTAACAAAAGAAGATTTGAAAAACAGTAAAAACGAATTTGAAACTTATTTAGAAACTCATGTTTCAAAACCAGAATCGTTTGATGCGGGAAGAGAGGATAAAAAATTGGAAGATATGAAAATAGAAGAGAAAGAAAATTTGGAAAATTCACCAGTAGTTTCTATTTTTCAAACTCATCGAACGAAATTCGAACAAAATTCCCAACCATCTGATTCATATGAAACGCATTTTGCCAAACGAATAGTCAATCTTCCTGAAGAAAAGGATGTGGAAGTGATTCTCGATGATCAAGATGAAGATGGTTATGATTTTGGTTCAAGTATAACGGTGAACAATAAAAATATTTCGCCCAATGAGGATCGTCACAATATTAGCAATGTCAGTGTATCAAGTGGCGAAAATAGTGAAGACAGTGGTTTAGTTCGTGAGTCAATTGACTTTAGACTAGAGTCTGAGACACGTCCTCCATTGCCAACAACTCCAATGCCCGTCTCGGGTTTACAGAAAATGACCTACATCACCGAGATCAAAGTATCACCAGTGAGAGAAAACATTCACGAGCCTGACAGCGAAAGTGAAGAAATTGTCGCAATCATGGAAGGAAATGGTGAGGCTAGAAAGTCTCAAGTTGATATTATAGTGACGGCCAATGGAAAACCAACGCCAGGTAAAAAACCACCAGTTCCACCGCGACGAAGTGACGTTTCAAAGCTCATCAAGGATGAAATTTCCGACAAGCAAGTTGTCTATGTATCGGAATATAAATCACCATCAACAAAGGAAGTTCAAATTTCAAGTGCCGCTGATGATAAATCCACAGCTGTTAATAAAAAATTTGAACAGTGGATTTTTCTAGGCGATAATAAAGAACAAAATCCATGGGGTAATGGATCCAGTCCACCTCAACCTGTAACGAATATTGTTCTATCATCTAGAGATGAAAAAATTCTGCATCAATAAATAATGTTGTGCAATTGATAAATTTAATAGAGGTGTGAGCGAATAATTCGAATCGAAATTAAATTTGTTTCGAATTTTAATAATTATAATCAAAATCGATTTTATTTGAAAAAATTTCAAATCACCGTATAGTTTCATAATTTGTGATAAATGTTCGTATCGAATCGTATATTTAATGTGTGATTTGAAATCAGATTTAATAAATGGCTTTAAATTCCTAATCAAAGTGATTTTAAAACTAAACTCAAACTTTTAAACAATAAATTTTGTTTCTCATATTCATGTGAAGGAAATTTTCATTTTTAATGAAAATTTATTTTTTTTAATTATAATTAAAAATTTATAATCACTTTACATGAATGTTAAAATTTTCAAAAATATTTTTTAAATGCAGAAGCTTAAGTTTTTCGAAAAACTTGTAAATTGATAATTTAGAATATAAGTATTTTAAAAATTGTAAACTAATAATTGTGTCGATAATATTTTACATGGATAAAAATTAAGGTTGTTAAAATTTTATTTTGTACAATTGCTTATGTGCTTTTATATATTAAAAAAACGTGAAAAGCAATATTACTTAACTTTATCAAAATGTTAAAAGTGAATGAATGAAAATTATTTGAGTTAAAAAAAACGTATGTGCCATAATAACTAATGAGAGTCTGGCCAACCCTGTTTTAGAAATACATAAATCAATATATTTCATCCTAAATTTTGTTGAAAAAGGCGAGAATGTTGTTTTTTTGTAAGCATAGATTTTTTTTTTTTTTTGTTAAAATAGAATAATGTGAATTATATTATTTTTACTTATTGTACATATTTAATTTTTATGTTGATTCAAATTTCTCGATTTTAGCTAACTACTTTTAAAAAAGTTTTTCAGTTAAAAAGTTATTTAATTTGTTTGTATCATTTTTAAGGTTCTTAAACGTAATATATATATACATATATATTACATTTAGAACTAAAGACTAAAAATCATGATAAACGTTATTATGAATACGAAAAGAAAAATCAAAAATAGTTGCAAAAAATTATTGTAATTATCACACTGATCATATTGTATTTATTTTTAATATTATTACCACAGTGTCATTTTAAAAGTCACTTAGTTTGAAGTATTAAGAAAAAAATTATAAATTCATATACTTTTTAAATGAGAGGAAAAACGTTCAATTTTATAATTTCAATAAGTGGTATGAAGAAAATTAATTCTACATTTTTACCTCAATAATAAATATCAAAGAAACTATTTCGAATATTAACGTTTCAATTGTATGTAATGTATATTAATTAATTTTAAGGCATTTAAAATTAATATTAGCGACAATAATAAATTAGAAAATAAGATGTATATTTTTAGATTTAAGTTTGGTGCCACAGAAATATATTTTTATATTGGGCAAATTGTTAGTTTTGAAACTGACAAATTTATCTTGATTAATAGGATAAGAACCTATTTTATGAAACTATTTTGTAATTTAATGTTCACTATATTTGTAAAGAGATCATAGGTTTTTTGACTGTAAGGCAAATTTTTTTTAAAATTATGCCTGATATGAATACATGAAGTTTAGATAAAATTTGTTTTAAGATTCACATTTTTAAAAAATTGTTTTAACTATTTGAGATGAAGAATTAAATCTTCAATGTTTGCATGTGAATTTTTATGATTATATTATTGTAGATTGTAATTAACGAAACAAAGTATAAAAATAATTTGTCCATTCAATGTTTTGTACTTATTTTTACTTGAGTTGTATCTTAATCAGAGAACAAGATTTAATTAATCTTAAAAAAAAAAGATGACAAAGTTGTCACATATAAACATTGTTTTGAATTCAATTCTATAAAGACGGAAGAATGTAATCTGATTAAAGAATTGTTAAATGATATTATTTGATATTGTATATTTGATTTTGTATGAATAATTCTATCATTAAAACACACGTATGACGAAAAATAATAAATCCTATTATTTACTAAATCCTGTAGTAATATTTCTCTATACCTTTGTAATTATCTGTAAGATACTAAAAAAATAGATTGTGCATTCAACATATTTTCATCAAATTCCAAATCAAGTAATATAATTAACGTAAATATTCTTAATTTAATCACATTAATAATTTTTTCTGTTTTTTGTTAGTAAAGTATTATCCTAATTGTAAAATATATATTTCTTTACCTTAAAATTCATTTTAAAATATAACTTTTCATCATCACTTTTACGTTGAAGACTGTCTATAACATTTAGTGTCAATTAACTTTTTGCCACACATTGCACAGATTCCTTTTTTATATGCACAAGATTGACAATAATGAGAACCAATTTGATGAACCTTCTGTCGGCATATCCTGCAGATTTCGAATTTCGATGTATAAGGATTGAAACGTCCTTTTTTTGAGGTAAGTGCTTTGTTTTCACCAATTTTACGTCCACCGTTTTCAGTGGTATTGCGAGCTCCTGCTTTCCATGGATCTGGTGTGATTACTTTGCCTAATTTCTTTTCACACTTATCGCAAACCATTGTGATTAATCTGGAATAAAACATTTGCATAAATCATATACAAATGATGTTGCATAAAATTGTATGATCTTTTTCAAAACAGAAATGAAATAAATAAAAAGGGAGGTTAGGTTGCACTTACCAGAAAAATTACGCTCACAAAATTGTTAAAACTGGATTCAATTGATATGCCACAGAAAATATGATTTCTTCTTTACACAATTATGAATTTAACTAACATTTAAACTTGCAAACAAATATTTTAAATAGAATAACAATAAATATTTTTCTGGTGTTTTGTTTACTTCTCAAGTTAGCAGAGATGTGAAATGAAATGTCATGTTTTCGTTTCTTACGTATGTTGCGTAATGGAAGGTAACACTAGCCCCTCCCTGGATCTGCGTTCTGCTTACGTCTGCGCAGTACACATCAAATTGGTTGAATCAGTGAATTTTTGTGATATTTGCTTGTCAAAAGTTGTTATTTTTATTATAATTCTGAAGATACAGCTAATAATTTTTCAAAATGAACAGGTTATTTGGTCGTGGTAAACCCAAAGAACCACCACCAAGTATTACTGATTGTATTACAGGCGTAAGTATATGATTTAATAAAAAATAATTGCTTACCATAACCTCCAAGTATCAAAATGATTCACTCACTGATAAAATTACTTTTAATAACAAATTAATATAATAATTTAACACTAACTTTACTTTATGGAGAAATTTTTTTATTAATTTCTTAATAATACTAATATGAACAAACTTTTCACTTATTTAAAATAAGTTAGTTATGACAGTGAACTGTCATAACTACGTCATAGTTTTATACCATAAAATTGTTAATTATCTTTATATCATAAGAGTCCTGATTATGTCTTTATCATTTTACATTATGATTCCAAACGTATTTAAAGATTATTATAATATAATAATTTTATTTGTTGAAATTGTTTTTTAGATTATACATAAATTATTAGAAAATTTTCAAGGCCAAATGAAACAAAGAAATCAAAAAATGAATGTTTATTATTTATTGTTTCTATTTAAAATATCTTAATATGTTTTTTTATAGATTGATAATAGGGCAGACACTGCGGAAAAGAAAATAGGGAAATTAGATGCAGAGCTAAAGAAATATAAAGATCAAATGCTGAAAATGAGAGATGGACCAGCTAAAAATGCAGTGAAAGCTAAAGCATTACGTATTCTTAAGCAACGAAAAATGTATGAATCCCAAGTGGACAATTTAAGGCAACAAGCTTTTAATATGGAACAAACAAATTATGCTACACAAACTCTTAAAGATACTCAAACTACAGTTGTTGCTATGAAAGAGGGCGTTAAACAAATGCAGAAGGAATTTAAGAATATTAACATCGATCAAATAGAGGTGAATATATTTTTTTAAGATTTAAGAGTAAATGAACTTATATGTAATTTTAATATTTTTCAGGATATGCACGATGAATTAGCAGATATGTTGGACGAAGCAAATGAAGTTCAAGAGGCAATGGGTCGAAGTTATGGAATGCCCGATATCGATGATGATGAATTGGAAGCAGAACTTGATGCCCTAGGAGATGACCTTGCCTTGGAAGAAGATACATCATATTTAGATGACGCTATTAAAGCACCAAGTGCACCTGATAAAGAACCAAGTGCTGCGTCAGTTAGAAATAAGGTATTTACAAATTATTGTAATATTTTCTATAAAAATTATTAATTGATTAGTTAATTAAGAAAAAGATACTTATTTATCAAATAAATATGTTTATTTACTTTTGTTTTTTTTGGTGAAAAATAGTTAAATAGAACTTTTTGGTTTATTAAAATATTTTTGATAATTACTATTGTTTAATTTACATTTGTTAATTTTTCGATGTCTCTATTTACAGGATGGAGTCTTAGTGGATGAATTCGGCTTGCCACAAATACCAGCGAGTTAATTTTAGTTAAAATAAGTGTCTTCAATTTAAGATCACTTTCCAATTGTTAAATGCTTTATCCACACAAAAATGGCTTTTACAACTAACTCTTTTTTTTAAATAATATATATATATAGTATAAAAAATGTTGTTTTTCATTAAATTTAAAAATGTACAAGCATGGCGACAAAAAATTTAAATAAAAGTAAGCTTATAGCTAAGATTTGGTTGTAATTGATTTTTTAAAAATAGAAATCTAAAATAGCCGCAGTCTTGGCTCATTTATAGGTTTTTGGTTTTGAAGTTCCATGTATCCTTCATATACATTAATGGCACTGTTTCGGCACTCTCGAAAGTGATCTTCTTCGAAATTATCGACTTGCAGGTAATGATGAACGTGAGCCTGACAAAATATTTTATTCAATTATGATTGGGTAACGTTTTTCTTTTTGTTATAAAATTTTCAACGAATTAATTTAAAATATACCTTCTTTTTGTAGAGTTTATCGAATTGCCGAATGACTTCGAGTAGCATTGAAGACATTGATGTGGAATTGACAAGACTAAGAAGTGATATAGGATGTCCTGCAGGAGGAACTGAACATAAACCGACTTTCATTACTTCTTTGCTCCACTCTGTGAAATTCACCTTGTTCTGAAATCTAAATTTTTCAATTCGAAACGTTGAACAGAATTTTTTTTCATTCCTAATGATTAATTATTTAATATGAATTTTAAATTTACCTTGAAATATTTTTTCTTATATCAGTGAGTGAAGTATCACCTCGTACAATGTGTGCTGCACCAAGAATCACAGAATCAATTTGAAAAGGATCCGCTTTGATTAGTTGATTGTTTCTGGACCACGCAGTTGTAAACAATTCGTCTAGAATTCTTCAGGAGGAATTTTTTTTTATAAATAATTTATAAGTGTGACAAATTTGTAAATTACTTTTAAAAAAATTGAAAGTAGCATACTTAGTTTTTTGAGACATGGACATTGATGACGCTGTCAGAGTCGCGGGACTTACACTACTGAATATGTAATGCAAATTAGGATAAGGAACAAGATTTGTTGCAAGTTCATTCATATCTGTATTCAGACTTCCAGAAAATCGCGAACCACTGTTACAAATTGGAAATAATATATTATCTTATTAAAAAATAAAAACGATAATTTAATAGTTATTTTTAAAATTTTAACATACCTTGTTAAATGAAGAAGCATATTAACGATGATGCTGTTCATATCTTGAAACGGTCTACATGACGCGTTATATTTGGCTTGATCAGAATTTTCCTTTTTCTTCATGTGGGCATAGCAAATATCTTGAAGAGCTTTATTCTCTGCTGGGAAAACGCAAGTTCCAAAATCGGTTAGTTGTTTTGTTGCCAAGAGAACATTGTAAGGAGATGTTATTACATCTTCAGTCCCAGCTGGATATACACATGACACAAATCTATCGATTTTTAAAAAAACAATTTTTATTAAATAGAAGAAAAGTTCATTTACAATTATAAAAATTATTTAATTGTATAGAAATACCTATCAACGTGAGAATAATTGTCGGCTAATGTTTTTAAAGTCGCAGTTCCTAATCCTGAACCTGTTCCACCACCGAGTGAGTGAGTAATTAAAAATCCATGTAAACAATCGCATTTTTCAACAGTTTTTCTAATTGTTTCACAAATTTGATCATGATAGTTTGTACCATGTGTGTGATAACCAACCGCCCTAATAAAATAGTTTATAATATTATTTGCAATTTAATAATTAATTATTTAATTATGAAATGGTTTTACCAATTGTTTGCTGAGCCAGGATAATTTGTAATCGTACAAGTTTGATCGAATAAATTTCTCAATGGACCTTGCTTAAATCGGGAAACAACACTATCTTCCATATCAATCAAAACTGCCTAAATTAAACAATAAAATTGTATATAACTTATGAAAATAGAAAATTAATAATGCAAAGTTTCTTACCCTTGCTTTAACTTTTGCTGAAATTAATTCAGAAACATTTTTAAAGGCTAAATCACTATTATTCTTTGGTACATAAAAGAAGCTGTTAAATGCATCGCAAAGATCATTTACATTTTTATTGTAATTTTTTTGGATCTTGAGACAATTAATTTCATTATTTGTTGTTTGAATTCCATACTCGTGCAATACTAAGGGCCAAAACGCAGAACCTATTTGATTTCCACATTGTCCAACTGAAAATATAAATTTAAAAAGTTTAATTTAATTTTTAATTTAAAAATTAAAATTTTGAGGTTATGTATTACACAAGGATAAACAAAATTATAAAGAATTATTACCTTGAACTGTAATAAATTGACTCATTTTTATTTACACTTGTGTCAATTTATAACATTATGTTTATGTAACGTAAATAATAATAAATAAAACAGTAAAACATTTATTAATGTGTAATAAATATTCAAAGAAGCAATGTTTTGATTTTGACACTAGCAGACACACTGTAGAAAATGCAAATTCGCGCCAATTGTATTATTGCAATTTTGAAATGAACTTTGGACATTTTGAAACTTGTCTACCAATCAGAGGTTCTTATTTTCCCGCCAGAAGCAACCATTAGCGCCCTCTTCTTCTTCAACTTTCCAATGCGCGCGCGCGCCTTTTATATCGATATGAATCGATATTTATTTAGGGCAATGTTCACTCGACTTAGAATCATTCAGCTGATTTTATTTACAAGTGTCATCATATCCTCAAAATACAGGAATAAATAATTAAAATTCGGTTCTCAGAAAGATATTCAGGTAAGTTAGTTCCATTATTATTTATCTTTATGTAAATTTTCTCTAATGTCAATCAAAGTGAAAGAAAAATCATGTTTTTATTACAATTTTTCTTAAGCTTTATAATTAACGTACCAACGAGATGATTTTTCATTTTGCATATTTCATAAACAATTATGTACATATCATCATGGTTTATAATTATTTTTTTAATCTTTCTTTATTATTATTTATTGGTTATCTGAAATTATTACAATTACAACCTGATACTACTCAATATTCCTAACCTTAAATTTCAAATAATGTTCAATAAAAACAGTTTATATATTACAATATAATGAAAATAATAATTAAATCGTTATAAATAATGAAAAAATATAAATCCATAGAATGTCCGACTATTTTATGGAAATGGGTCGAACACCTTTAAATGATGGTGAGGCTCCAAATCATTTAATGCACATGGCTCGATTTCTAAGGGAATTTGGATTTTGGGAATTGGATGAACAAAGTCAAAGGATTCCTCCACCAGCTTCGAAAGAGGCTGTTGAAAATCTACCAGAAACTAAAATTACCGAATGCAATAAACAATGCCCTGTGTGTTTAAAGGAATTCGAAATTGAAAGTTTGGCAAAAACTATGCCCTGCAATCACTCGTTTCACAAAGAATGCATTCTACCTTGGTTGGAAAAGGTAAAATAACTAATAATTTTAATAATATAAAGCTTTAATATAACCAAAAATAAATTAGTTGTCCACTTAAAATTACTTAACGCACTTTCAAGAATTAATATAATTAAAACATTAAATCAAACTATATCAGTTTCAAATTTAAGCAAATTGATTTATGGGGTTAATATAATTTTAGACCTCCAAAATTATTAAATAATTTAAACAGTTTAATGAAAAATAATACATCTTACATTTATTTTCTTTATTTTATGTTAAATTAAAAATTTAGGATGTAAAAAGTGTTAAATTAGGACACATTTATTTTTAACTTCATCTTTCAGACAAATTCGTGTCCTTTATGCAGACACGAACTGCCCACGGACGATGAAAATTATGAGATGTATAGAAAGGAAAAAATACGAGCAGTTCAAAGGGAAAAAGAAATAGAAATTTTACACGATTCTATGTTTTCCTAGTAGTGCAATAAAATATTACTTAAGGCTTATTTATTTATAAAAATTTAATAAAAAAAAATAAGTTAATTTAAGAAATTATATATCTTTGTTCAAAAGACAGAGACGAGGGATCAAATTGTCGATTAATGTAAACTGTAATTTTTTAAGTATAATTTAACTAATTATAAAATGTTAATCAACAAAACTGAAAGTTTTTATTCTGTAACATTTTAACCATTATCCATTCGAAGTAGTTATTAAATAAAATTTTACATTCTTTAAATTTTAAAGTTACCTGCAGACATTCTGTCGGCAAAGGTAAAAATAGGTAGTTACTGACAGTAGATGAAGTAGTCGAGCATTCGTATCTACAGTGCAATGTAGCTTCCATTTTTTAATAATTTTTTTATTTTTTCAGTTATAAAAACCTGAAGGACAGGAAGGATGTGGACGAAGAAAAGCGGTCCCAGCATATTGTTGTATTTTTTTTTTAAATGCAACAGTATAATTCCCGACCTGTGCAGAAGTGCAAACAAGAGACAGGGATCTTTGGGAATGACCCAGAATTAAGGGGCAAATATTGTTTTATTTGTCCCAACATGGGATTCACCAATCGGTGAGTTCTGTTTTATCTTCTGATACCCTTTCTTTGTAGTTCAAACCAGTTTTAAACACGTCGCTAGTGTTTGTTGCCTCGATACAATTATTCAAGTCGAAAAATCGGTCGAGTTCGATATGAGCGCCATTTTAATTCTGTGAAAAAGCGCAGTTGCGAGCGCGCATCATATCAATATCAATTCAAATGCTTATTTCTTTTATATGGTACCATTTCTCAGATTCTTTTAATTCTACTTTGTTTTTACCTTGCATTCTATACAAGTATAGCTCTATATAAGAAACACAACATTAAATTAAAAATTGATTTCTAATTTTCATTTTTGTATCTAATTTGTTAATTAGAATACAAATTTAAAGAATCTGATTAATTGGTATTTAGATTGAAAAACAATATATAAAGCGGGTAAAAATGGTAAACGCGTAATAATAGTATTAAAACTAGAAATAAATGAATATTAAAATATTTATATTAATTAAAATATAATGAATTTTCTGACAATTCAATTAAAAAAGAGAGTAGTTTTAATCTGTATAATACTGCTATGATGATTTTATTACACGTCCATTCCTAGACTGGCACACACACAATGATATTGTAACAGTGTATATGTATATCGCGTACCCTCAATCGAGTTTGTGCTGGAGGACTGGAACTGGAAATGTAGTGGGAGTGGGAAAGAAACTAGACTTTCAGTGTGCACAGTGCATGCTAGTACAGTACCGACTGTGTTGTCGTTCGCTCGCATCTTTAACGCGCAGTGTGTTCAAAAATATCGTTTCTTCGCGCGTGCTCCAGTGGGTGGGAAAATTCACAAATGCATGTGCCTTGACAAAAAAAAAAAGAAAGAAGAAGAAATATCCGCCAAAACTCTTTTTTCTAGAGTGGCGCGGGCGAGTCCACCTGTTACAAAATAACATCCAAGTTCGCGGAAAATGTGAGTCAGTGTGTGCTATGATCAGCGACGTCACTACCGCGTGCAGTTAGTTCTCTCTTCTCTTTCTCTTCACACAAAGTCCTGGAGTTTTGCTTTGGCTTCACTCTATAGTGTCAGTGTGCATTTCTCCATTGCATCCTCTCTCTCTCTCAAATCCAGTGTTAGTCTGCGTACATCATCACAGTTCCACGTGAGTGTGTTACTTTGTGCATATGTGTGTATTTGAGAGTATTATTGCAACCCCCTTCAACGAGATGGACCCGCTATCTTGACACAAGAGTCATGTCACATATAATAGTAGGTTAAATTTTTGATGTATATTATAGAAATTAGAAGCTTCATGTTGTAGCCAGTGTTCGACTTCTTTAATGCGTGTCATGCATCCGAGAGGATTGTAATAAGTACATATAGCGGTGGAAAACAAAAAGCCACTCTTGGAATGTCATTGAAATCTTACCGCAAGTCCTGGAAAAGGGCAGAGAATGAGGTTAATCAGAGATCTTCATGATACCTATATATGAGGGGTGACATGTCATAAAAGCATAAAACACATTTGGAATGAAGTTGAAGGTTGTTGCGTTTTAAAGGACGAGAATAAATGCTGTTCTTTCAAGGTGACTTTTTATTGAAGACAACCTTTTTTTTGAATTACAACTATATAGTTGAACGTACAGCATTCATTACCGTCATTAGTATCTGAAACTATCATTAATTGACACTATCAACAACTGACAGGTTTTATTTTTTTAACAACTATAGGCTAGGAATTTTGATTGGAAAATCAAAAAGAAAAAAGTTATTGTCTATAATTGTCTTATAAGATGCTTTTTTAGATCAATTTAAGATCTTTTTATTTTGCAAATGCAGTATTTTTATATAAAAAATTGGACGTAACATTTACTACATGGAGAAAAAAGAATTGTTAAAACAAAACTAACAAATCTCTCCTAATCTGAATCAGTTGAGAATCTTCACTGATTTTAATTAGTAACAAACTTCTCACTGATTGAACCAGTGATTTTTACTGATTCCCAGTGAAAATCACTGATAATCAGAGAAAATCACTGGTGACAATGAGAACTGCACTAAATTGCAACCAGTGAAATTTTCACTGATTCAGATTAAGAGAGTTGCACTGCAAAAAGAAATATCTTATTTTACACTGAAAAAAATTTTTCCGAAATCTTCAACTACCTTTGGGTAGTTAAGTGAAAAAAAAGTTAAAACAATTACTTTCTTAGTTAGTTTAACAATGTTTGTGTAGTGAATTTCATTATTTCTTAAGAAGTTAAAAATTAGTAGTACAATTAACTTAAAAATGTAGTTAGAATTTAAAACTAACTACAAAATCTTATTATATCAACTACATTCTTAGTTATTTTAACTACTTTTTAGTATTTAAAATTGAGTTGAGGACCTATTGTACTATACAGGGTAGTTAAAAAGTAGTCAAATCTACTACTTATTTTTTTGAGTGTAAGATGTTTTGGTAGCGTTTTTAAGACATTAAGATATGTTTAAGATATCTCGATGTCTTGAAAACACTACCAAAACATCTTAAAATAAAATACTTCTTTTTGCAGTGTGTTTGCCGTAAAAACCAATTTTTTTTTTGTATTCTTAACAGTTTTACTGTTATAATTTCCAATTGTTAGACGAATTTGTTGTAACAAACCTATTTTGTTCATCTGTGATAAATCACTATTAGACTTCAACTACTTCTACTTAAAACAACTATTATTTAAAACTAAAATACATTTTCAAAATGGGTTAATACTTTTAAGAAGATACATTAAAGACAGAGGGGAAGTCACCTAGTTTTGAAAAAGTAAAGGTGACTGGTTTGCGTGGAGAAAACTCGTTTGTTGAGTGCACGGATGCTGCATCTGAGAATAGAAATAAGTAAAGGGTTGATTGAAAAAGTCATCCAATTAGATGAAATATCCAAAGCTTTGTTTTATGTAGTCATTTTCGAGGTTGTTTTAAAAATCAATTTTTCAACCCACAAGAAAGAATATCTAGAAATCTTTATGCGCTTGAGTGATTTATTTATTTTTTTTTTTTATTAAATTAAGTCTTTGAAAAAGAACTGTTTACTAAATTTATGAAGAAACTAATCTCAAATTTATTTAAAAGTAATTTTTGATGATATAATTCAAAATTAATAGCACACACAGTTATTACTGAAATACAGCATAAATTATAATGAATAAAAAATATTTCACTTTTATTGGAAATACATAGAAAGATTTATTTTGTGCTGACTTTTATTGCTTTGAAAACATAGAAATTACATTTCATATTTTTATTAACTTTAATATGACTTGAAGTCGCAGTTTGCTTACAAAGAAAGCAATGTTAAGATCTCAAATTTAATGCTAGAACATCATTATATGTTTTCTCAACTTGGAAAATCTAGTTCTTTTTTTGTTTATTTAGAAAACAGTTTTTAATTTTAAGATATCGTCTTTTAAAATATTTTTGTACATCAATTTAATGAAATCAGTCAATAAAAGAAAAGAAGGAAAAGAAAATATTAGCTATATAAAGAATTTGCGTTTTGAAATAAATAAAAGAGGAATAATTCAATTATTTCGAAACATAAAATTACCATTAACTTCAAATTGACAAACAATAAATTGAAGCTATCATTAATTTAAATCACCATTTTTGTAACTATCACATTTACATTGTGTTCATTCAAAGTCTTTTGTTTTGAAATATATGGTGTAAAATTCAGTCTCATAAAAAAGGTGATATAATTGTATATATATATATTATTCTTGCCAACTTCGCCACAGTAGTAACAAAAGACATTATCGCACTTGCATTTGACTCATCCTGTTTTGCGATTAATTCACTCACGGTACGATTTCAATAGAATTTACTCAGGACCTTTTTTTTAAAAACTTTGTTTGTCACGAAACAATTCGCACCTGACAACTTGCTATGACAGTAGTAAGGTACTATTTTTTACCTCTTTTTAAAACGTCAGGGTCGATTCTGCATTGCGTGCCTTATAACATTATCAGGAAAGAAGAACAAGAATTTAATGGGAGGAAAAGAAGGGTGTCACGAAAGAAAAATGTAACGAGATGAAGAAAAAGGTATACAAAAAAAAAAGAGTGAAGAGACAAGAAGGGATGAGACAAAGAAAAGTTTGTCTACGACATTGAGCTCAAGGATGAAACTTGTTTTGGTTGCTTCTTCGCTGTGTATAAGAGAAGGAAACAAAAAAAAAAAGGGAAGAGAAAAAAAAAACGTTAGTTATTCTGAACTGCATATCGGTGATACGCTGACACGCAAGAAAAACGAGTCACTGAGGATTTAATTCGAGTTCTGAAAGAAAAAGCACACTGAAGATGAAAGTAGAACAACAAGATTCATCTCGAAAACTATCTAATTACTCCAAGTATTTCTTGGGCGATGGAATAATAAAGTTCAATTTGAAAATCAAATCAAAAACATAGTTGAAATTCATCGAGAGTTTCATCCTAAACATTATTATTATTATTATTTGTATATTAAAGGAAAACATCGTTTTCAAATATGAAAGAAAGTGTATTAGAATTAATTTTTGATTGATAATATGCTTGTCACTTATTTAAATGCAAATGACAAGATTTCTTCACCTGTTTATAAAATGTTAATAGACTAATAATTCCGAATATTCATCCTCAACAAAAGTTGGAATTTAACATAAATCATTCTATACCGTTTAAGAGGGATCTGATGTAGGCCAAAATGTATATCAGAATTGGAAGTAATTATTTCTCTAGTATATCTGAGCTCTCTATGTGTCGATCAAAGGATTAACTATTCAAATACTTAAAGGTCAATGCAATTTAACTTGGAATTTTTAATTGATGACTGATGGGTCCAAAGAAAATGCATTAGAGAGAATTTTCTAAATTTGTAATGATCCATATAATGGAACATTATTTTAATTTTTTAATATGCAAAAAATCGGAAAAAATTTTGCCTGAATTTTTAGAAATTGGAAAATATCAAAGACAATAATTAGAAAGGAAACATGTAATCGACAATAATTGGAAACAAAAATAGCGAAATCGTAATCTTCCTTCACATTAGCCTCACTAACAATCGTATACAGTGAAATCAAACTAATTAACTTAACTAGAACATTGCAAAATGAAAATTAAGAAATCGTTATACTATGCTCTCGGTAATTACAAAAATTAAATTTTTTTTTCGTCTTTCTATTATCATGCGTAAATAACTGTATTAAAGAGAAAGAAAGAATTGAAAAAAAGCGAATATTATATTTTTTTTATTATTGTTCAATTTTGTCGTAAAAAGATTTAGAAATTATTATTTTCCTTGTTACGAAATAGTTTTAAAAAGAAACTTTCTTCCGTAATTCTCAATGGTATATATAATGCAAGTTAAAATAGAGAATAAATGCGGTTAAAAGCTATAAAACTTTGTGGAAAATTAAATGTAAAAGCACATAGTGTCGCTTGAATAAGTAAAGAATGTATATAAACTAAAACTTTTTTTTTTTCTATCCTAGCTAGAGAAAAATCGATTGTGAATATAGTTTCAACGAACCCTTTTTATATATGAATCACATCGTCACACAGTGACTGTTCGTGTTGTTGTTGTGTTATAATGCCATTGTGGAGTCTCCCGTAATCATGGGGGCAATTCCCTGACATACAACAACCATATGGGGTAGACGCATATATATATATATATATATATATATATATATATATATATATATATATATATACTTTTAAACAGGAAAAGTACATCCTGGCACTCCTATGGGTACTTTTACCTTTTAAAAAAAAGCCCTTCGTTTCATTCCATTCCACCCAAGCCTCATATCGTTTATGGGTTACTCCCCCTTGGTTTGAACATTTTTCGTATAGGCATCTCTCTCTCTTTCTATATATATATATATATATATATATGTGTATACATTTATATATGGCTTCCTAAAAGTAAATCCTATAAGACTCATATAATTTTTCATTGGATTCGATAGTAAAGCAAGATGTAACTGTAAATCTCTTTGATACTTTTTCCATTTTTATGAGATATACATAGAGAACTCTCTCGTTTCAAAAGGTAAAAATTTATTTTCAACTTTTTGTATATCAAACTTTTAGCTTTGTATTTTTTTATTTCTATAGAAAATAATTTTTTCTATTCACTGAAAAAAAGTAGAATTGATTAAAGAAAACTACTCTCTAAATCTGAATTAGTTAAAATGTTTACTAATTTAAATTAGTGACTCACTTTTTGCTTTAAAATTAGTTAAATTTTAC